GGCTAGTCAGTGAACAGGCCAGTGGAATGGGACTTGACAGACATGGGCTCTATTTCCAGCTCTGCCACTGAACTGGTGTGTGACCTTGAGCAGGTCTCTTCACCTCTCTCTGCCTCTATTTTCCCTGGTCTTCAGGGCAGGAACTGTCTTTTATTATGTATATGAACAGTGTGTAGCACAATGGGATCCTGATCTCAGTTAGAGCTTTAGACATTACAGCAATACAAATATAATAAAGGTCTGAAGATTTTTATATTTTTAAATCTGTTTTTAGAACTGTTTAAAACCCCACAATCCAAAACCACTTGGCTGCTGGTCGAGATGCCAGAAGCACTTTATAGGCCCATCTCCCTTTAATCTTGTGGTAATTCCTGTGGTGCACAAGGGTGCAAAGGATTCCAGAGAGTATGACAGGAGATGACTAAACTGCTGATTGGGGTGAGCCAATATGAGAAAAGCCTGAGAACACAAATGTTGGTGGGGGCGGAGGGGGAACAACCTTTTTTTCCCATTTACCTTTTTAACTTCATTTTTCTAGAGGAAGGTGCCAATGACTCTAATACAAGCATAGGAAAATCTAATAAAAACATAGATTCATAGATTCTAAGGCCAGAAGGAACCAATGTGATCATCTAGTATGACTTCCTGTACAACACAGGGCAGAGAACTTCTCCAAAATAATTCCTGTTTAAACTGGAGCAAGCCTTTTAGAAAAACATCCATTCTTAATTTAAGAATTGCCAGTAATGGAAAATTCACCACAGCCCGTGGTAAATTTTTCCCTTGGTTAATCCCCTTACTGTTAAAAATGTACGCCTTATTTCCAGTCTGAATTTGTCTGGCTTCAACTTCTTGCCATTGGATCTTGTTATAACTTTGTCTGCTAGACTAAAGAGCCCATTATTAAATATTTGTTCCTCAGGTAGGTATTTACAGACTGTAACCGAGTCTCCAGTTAACCCAGTGTTTCCCAAACGGTGGGTCCTAACCCACCAGTGGGTTGCAGTAAATATTTAGGCAAGTCACCTGTCACTGACCCCCCATGTCACTTTCACACTGTGCATGCTCCGGGAGCACTCCTGCCCACCAGGGCCGCTTGGGGGAAAGGGTATTGACGCAGCTGCCCCTCCATCATGATGGAGGAGTGGTCGGGCCAAATATGAGTGAATGGTGTTGCGACCTGGCACGTTGCAGCTCTACTCAGGTTTGGCCCAGCCACCCCTTCATCATGACAGAGAGGCAGCTGGGCCAATCCTGAGTGGTGCTGAGACCCTGTGTGGTAGGTCGCAAGGCCTGGAGTGGGGAGCCGGGTTTCAGTTAGGCCTCTCAAACATGAAAGGATCTTTGACTGGCTAATTCTCTCCAGGACAGAGAGAGCCCGGAGGCTCTGTGTTTTCTGGTGTTTTGTTGTAGCCTGTCTTCCACTCTCACTTAAAGGAGGGATGACCTCAAACTACCGGGGAGCCGCAGGCATCAGAGCTCTCTATTCACAGGGGCTGGGAAAGTGAGAACAAGGGCGCTGGAGGGAACTGAGCAGAGGACTTGGGCTGGAGTGCCAGCACCGTGGAAAGCACGTAATTTTGTGTTTTTCTTTTTTAATTTGGTGTTAGAATAAAAATAAATAAAAAATGGTAGTTACACACACATGCACAATATATAGGTAATGGTGGGTCCCCCCAAAAAGAAAAATGCAATGGGTGGGTCACCTTAGTAAAAAGTTTGGGAACCATTGCCTTGACCTTCTCTTTCCTAAACTACATAGATAGAGTTCTTTGAGTCTAACACTATACAGCATGTTCTCCAATCCAACAAATTGCTAAAAGATCCAAACAACAGTCATGGTCTGAACAGAGTAAAGTGCTGAGCTATTCCAACAATTCAGTGGTTAGACATACAAAGGTATTGGTATGTGAGTTAAAAACCCAACAAATCCAAGATCCCCAAAGGTGACTGAGCAGAATATGGCGCAAAGTCCATTTTAGAGGCACCACATTTATTTGCAAACCGCAACATAAGCTGCGTGCCTTGCATATTCTTAGCCTGCCAATAGTATTGGATCCTGCCACAGGAATAAGTAAGACACCACATGGAAAAACTCAAAGCCAGCTTTCACGCTCCGATCTGAGAAAGCTGCCCAAGAGACTATACACTTCCCACTCAGCCTTTAAATAGCAACCTTAGTCAAAAACATCAGCGTAAAGACATTATTGCTAGCTAGTTTAGTTTAGCAAAGGAGTCCTGGCTCTACAGCTGAGCAAGATCAGGGAAGTTCTGTGTACTGGAGAAGACCCAGAATAGCATTAGCATAGCCTACAAATAAATAAAGTATGGTAATACTTTGCATTATAGGCTTAATGTGGTGCTGGTGATTGGAACATACATCATTAATGGAGAAAAGCCCGAACATGATTCTATGGTGTATAGACAGTGTATGCTAATGAAGGTGCTACCTTTTAGAACCAAGACCCCTCCACACACGTTTTTTTTTGGGGGGGGGGGGGGCAGGAAAAGAACATGAGCTACAGTGTCCTGACCAGCTTCTCTGCAGTATTACTAACCCCAAACGTTCAAAAATCATGAGTCAGGCTCACCAAAAATCACGAGGGTGGCTTTAAAATCATGAGATTGTGTAAAATAATACATTTGGTGTTCTTTTTATTTACCTTTCACTTTTTGAGTCTTTAGGATGGACTGGAGTCACATTTTGAAGCTTTTGCCACAGCCATGAGGGTCCCTTTTTTTTTTTTAAAGACTAAAGGCTCAAATCAGCACATATCTACTTGACTCCAGGAGCTGGAGCTTTAAGGAAAACAATAATTATCATGAGTCTCATGACAAAACCATGAGAATTGGCAAGACTCTTCTGTTTGGACAATTGTATTCTTCCTGTTTAAAACTCCCACTTCAGTTTTGATTGGCTACTGTATTCATCTTCCCCGTTGCAGCTGGCAAGATCCCTGAGGCAGGATACTCGGGGGAATAAGTGATTCTCTTTGCGTTGTTTTGTTCTATTCAATAGCAGCTGTGTTCTGATCCAGAGGTAGCTGCATTTCAGTGGAGGATGCCAGGCCCCCAATTGTATATGATACAGTTTGTGAAGTCCTGGGGGCTCCTTTAGGATGAAGATGCCATCGTACACATTGTAGTCAGTAGTCAGCTGAGTGGCATGAAGTCGTACCGGTTTTTAAAAAATCATAAAGTTAACAACAATACACAGAGAGATTCATATGAGCTGCTTCTGCTTCTCCCTGCAAAGGGTCTTAACTAAAGAATTCCAGAATGAGAGCAAAGGTCTATAAGCAGAATGTTTCTGTGACAGGGTGAGAGTAGCCTAAGGCTGACTCAACACTCTGTGCATTGTGCAAGGTCCTCATTTGGCCCAGCTGAGGATAGAATGAGCAGGCTGATTCAAGCTCCTCAGCTAAGGACAATGAAAAGAGAGACAGGAAGAGATGAGAGAAGCCAGGCTCTCAGGGAGGTGAGATCTCTCACCCTGTGCCTAACTGAACCTCTCACACCAGGTGTGATTCACTGTCTGCAAGAACCGTGTGTAGACATGTACAGAATAGAAGCAATTGCTGATTGCAGTCATAAAGGGGACAGAGCATTTCAAAGACAAAAGGCTGTGCAGGAGAGGAAGTCAAAATGGCTTCTGCTAACCCTCTAGACTAATAAGGGAAAGGCTCAGCTAATCAAAGATGCAAAACCAACAACAGATGGCCAATCAAAACCAACCCAACTCAACCAACCCAGACCTCTGATTCCCCAGGGATCTTGGAGAAAGTCCCAATTTGGAGAGTACAGTTCGTTCTACCCTCTTTGCCAGTGCCAATGAAAGCCCAGTTCTTATAGACAACACACATTCTATTCATTATCACAGTGTGAGTTTCTTTCTAGATCTCATTTTTTAAACAAACCTAGAAGCAGAGATGGCATGATATTTACCAGAGGTCATTTTTCCCAGCTAAAACAATGGTTTATACTGCCCCCGGAAAAACTACGGTACTTAGTCCCAGTTTAAGACAGCTTCTATTTTAAAAACGGTTTTGTTAATACACACCACCTTACACTTAGTTTTAGTTACATATTCAAATTGTGGTTACATACGACAGTTACATATTCAAATTACATACGACAGTAGATTCAGAGATTAATTTAGGGCAGTCCAAACAAAAAGTAAAACTGCGGAATACTAATATATGTAATTATAATACTGAATGTCTGTACACATTTTGGCTTGGTATTTTCTCAAGGAAGTTATATATGTCATGACTCATATCTCGATTTTCATAATTATATAAGTGAAAGTCGAAAACATTCGATGATATAAAAAGGACAATAATGCAGATTTGTAGGCTTGAAGCATTAAGCAATAAGAGGCATGCTTAATGGCCCTATCAGTCCAGGGCCACTTGGCCATGCAGCATTCTGTAGCAAGAGACCAATTTTGAGGTAGTTGACAGACCGAGTTAATGCCTCAGTTCTGAATGACTACACCTCTACCTCGATATAACGCTGTCCTCGGGAGCCAAAAAATCTTGCCGCATTATAGGTGAAACTGTGTTATATTGAACTTGCTTTGATCCACCAGAGTGCGCAGCCCCTCCTCCCCGGAGCACTGCTTTACCGCGTTATATCCAAATTTGTGTTATATCGGGTGGCATTATATTGAGGTAGCGGTGTATATCCAAAGTTTGAAAAGATTCATTCTATGCTTGCTGAACAGTGATGCAATTATTTTTTCCAGTTTAAACTGGGTTTAAGCCGGTATTTACCTGCACCCTGTCCTAAACTAGTTTTTCCCGGGAAATTGTCAATCCTGTGTAGAAGGAAGAGCACAAATCTCAACATGGAAAGAACACATGGCAATTTGCAAGTACCAGCCTACGAAGCATGCTGGGGTGATCTAAAATCATTTCTCAGCCAATCAATCACAGGAGATTCAGTAGATGGTAACAGCTTTTGAATGAGAAGAAGTGCAGAGAGGGATGCACACTCACCTGAACAGAGGACACCCTTGTATCTGGCACAGGAGAAGTCATTGCACTCACAGAACAACCCGTAGATCCTTCCAAACTCACTCTTGTAGCAGATGCACTGGTTGCAGCTGCATTCCCCCCTGCCACTGCAGACAGGTTTGCCTTCAGCCTCCCGGCACATGTTCTGATACATGTTCCCGCTCTCTCCCTCTTCACATTCACACTTGGATCCCAAATAGCCTGAGTCACATTCACATAATCCACATGTGTAAGTCCCATTCCCACTGCACTTGCTGCTGTTCCGTTCCATCTGCTTCGTACATCCACAAGTGCAGTTGTAAGCAACCTCCACCTCCAGAGTGTCCCGGAACCCAGCTGGCTTTATGGTGAAAGTGTGCGAGGTGTTCTCGGCAGGGCAGCTCCGAGCTTCGACAGACACCTCAAAGGAAACCTAAAGAGGAATATTGAGACATTTAACAAAATAAATAAATAAATAAAAGAATGAATGGGGAGCTTAAATTGTAGCTTTTGAAACATCAAACAGCAGCATGGTCCAGTGGGAGGGGTAGTGGCTTGAAATACTTGAGACCTGGGGTCCCAGCTCTGCCGTGCAACCTTGGGCAAATCACCTCTCCACTGTTTCCCTTTCCAACTCTTTGGTGCTCTTGTCTAGTTCGACTGTACACGTTTCAAGGCAGGGACTGTCTTTTCCCATGTGTATGTACACTGCCTAGTGCAGAGGGGCCCTGGTGTTAATTGAGGCCTCTAGATGCTATTGTAATACAAATAATTAACAAATAAAGAGACTAAGAATTTCATGGGTTCTAGAATTCAAAAAACTTTTCAGAACTTAAAAGCAAGATTCTACTTGAAATAAGGACAACCTGGGGAATTACAGACCAGTCAGCTTAACTTCAGTACCATGAAAGATAATGGTGTAAATAATTAAGCAATCAATTTGCAAACATCTAGACGATAAGAAGATGATGAGTAACAGTCAGCAGGAATTTGTCAAGAACAAATTGTGTCAAACCAACCTAATACTAATAGCTTTCTTTGACAGGGTAACAAGCCTTGTGAATGGGGGGGAAGTGGTTGATGTGGTATATCTTGACTTGAGTAAGGCTTTTGATATGGTCTCGCATGATCTCATAAACAAATTTGGGAAATACAACCTAGATGGAGCTACTATAAGGTGGGTGCATAACTGGTTGGAAAACCATTCCCAGAGAGTAGTTATCAGTGGTTCACAGTCAAGCCGGAAGGGCATATGAGGTGGGGTCCTGCAGCAATCAGTTCTGGATCCAATTCTGTTCAATATTTTCATCAATGATTTAGATAATGGCATACAGAGTACACTTATAAAGTTTGCGGACGATACCAAGCTTGGAGGGGTTGCAAGTGCTTTGGAGAATAGGATTAAAATTCAAAATGATCTGGACAAACTGGAGAAATGGTCTGAAATAAATAGGATGAAATTCAATAAGGACAAATGCAAAGTACTGTATTTAGGACGGAACAATCAGTTGTACACATACAACATGGGAAATGACTGCCTAGGAAGGAATACCGTGTAAAGGGATCTGGGGGACATAGTGGATCACAAGCTAAATATGAGTCAACAGTGTAACACTGCTGCAAAAAAAAGCGAACATCCTTCTGGGATGTATTAGCAGGAGTGTTGTAAGCAAGACACGAGAAGTAATTCTTCCGCTCTACTCCGTGCTGATTACTCCTCAGCTGGAGTATTGTGTCCAGTTCTGGGCACCACATTTCAGGAAAGATGTGGACAAATTAGAGAAAGTCCAGAGAAGAGCAACAAAAATGATTAACGGTCTAGAAAACATGACCTATGAGGGAAGATTGAAAAAACTGGGTTTGTTTAGTGTGGAGAAGAGAAAACTGAGAGGGGACATGATAACAGTTTTCAAGAACATAAAAGTTCGTTACAAGGAGGAGGGAGAAAAATTGTTCTCCTTAACCTCTGAGGATAGGACAAGAAGCAATGGGCTTAACTTGCAGAAAGGACAGTTTAGGTTGGACATTAGGAAAAACTTCCTAACTGTCAGGTTAAGCACTGGAATAAATTGCCTAGGGGAGGTTGTGGAATCTCTGTCATTAGAGATTTTTAAGAGCAGGATACACAAATGCCTGTCAGAGATGGTCTAGATATGATCATACTTAGTCCTGCCGTGAGTGCAGGGGACTGGACTAAATGACCTCTCAAGTTCCCTTCCAGTCCTACAGTTCTATGATTCTATCTGAAGACAGAGGATAAAAATTGGCTTTGAATGGTCCTGTTTATTGTCTGAGTGATTCTGTGTCCAATGTGCTCAAAAGAGGGTTTGTTTTGTTTTTCTAATTTCCAGCCCTGAAACATAATATAGGACAGGGGTAGGCAACCTATCTCATGCGTGCCACAGGCAGCGTGTGAGCTGATTTTCAGTGGCACTCACACTGCCCAGGTTTTGGCCACCGGTCCGGGGGGCTCTGCATTTTAATTTAATTTTAAATGAAGCTTCTTAAACATTTTGAAAACCTTATTTACTTTACATACAACAATAGTTTAGTTATATCTTATAGACTTATAGAAAGAGACCTTCTAAAAACGTTAAAATGTATGACTGGCACGTGAAACCTTAAATTAGAGTGAATAAATGAAGACTTGGCACACCACTTCTGAAAGGTTGATGACCCCTGATATAGGATCTGAAAGTCCAGCTGGGATCTTTCTGGCTTGTTCATCTAACCAGTTTTAAGATGGATCTTTATAAATGTATGAATGGGATTATATGACAGGATTGCCTTCCACAGCAGGGGTCTGAACTCAATGACCTAGGAGGACCCTTCCAGTCCTATGTTCTCATGTTCTTCATCATCACCAGTAATAAAGATACCACTCTTACACCTATTCAATCCCACTGCCTTCACTGTGGCCTCGCAGGTGTAACACATGGCAGAATCTGGCCCTGCAGTGGGATCCTAGTTAACAATTCTTTTGCTGGAGCATGAGCCAGAACAGACTCAAGCTCTCACTCTCTCATGGTATTGTAGGGTGAACACAGCTAATAGGGGCACAAACCTATTTTTGTCCTGAAGTAAGCGGTTCTGAATTCACACAGGGGCCAGATTTGTTGAGCAAGAAGGTGCAGTTTGTAGATAGTTCCTTTGTCAGGCAGATCTGCACTTTGGGTTTCATTCCAGTGGAGGTAGAAAAGATGTTTGTTTTTATGCCTTTGAAACAGTATTGCAGGTTTCAGTTTTAAAGAGTTTAGTGAGAACACCTGGAGCTGAGAATTGTGATATTGCCAAAGTCCTCTGGGTTCTTGCATCCTGAAATACCATAAACGTCATTCTAGCTTGGTGAGGGAGGTTAAACATATCATATGATCCAGGTGAAAGGAGCACAGGGATAAAACAGAAATTTAATCTTAGCAAGCTGCACAATATAGATCCCCACAGTAATGTCTATTTTTATTTTAAAAACTCTCCACATGTTTGGAGGATGACAAATAGCTACACCACATTAGCATGTATTGCATTGCCAAAAAAATAAGCTAAAGCCTAACTGCGGAGTGTTTCAGTCTCTTGATAAGTATACAGGTGTCCCTGGGAAGCAACATGCGGTTTAAATATCTTGTTTGCATTACTGTTTGTAACAACGCAATTTTAAATCTGAACCGAAGCCAGCTCTAACTTCACCTGTTTATCCTGCATTTAGATACAAGAAACGTCACCCACTAACCAAAATGTTTATTTTTTGTGGACAGTTCCTTCTAAAAGAAGCCACAAGTATAAGAGAGAAGATTTGCAATAATATTAAAGTCACCAGCAGTTAGTGGTAATTTTCTTCATTATTGCTCACTCTGGTTTCTGTGAAGTGGGAAGGAGTTTTAACTGGAGCAGCCATTCTATTCTATTTAAAGAATCAATATAACAATCTGACAAGGATTAACAAATATTCAGGAATCCAGGGTTGGAGTCAAAACTGCACAGATTCATAATTAATTTGTATTTATAATGTCCACAACTGCATATGGAAATTGGGTATAACAGGTCAGTTGTGAACACAAATTCCTGATTTGCACATGGAAACATGATAGCTGTATATGCAAATTTAGCCAGCATCATATGGCCCAAACTCCTGAGGTTTTGAGAAATCGGTCCTACAATTTTATCAAAGTCTCCACAATGTTATTGGTATTTAGATGTATACTTCTATTATAATTTGTTTCTCTCTCTCTCTCTAATTATATATGTAGCACCTCAGCATCCCGATTCATTCTGTGATGCTGCAGTCAATGCGAGGGATTTTCTCCTTGAGAACCAAGAAAACCTTACAGCCAATGACTTGGATTATGAAGATTGAAGAAGTCTTGCCCTTTTATAGGCTGCAGGGAGCTGCTATTGTTACTAACAAACACAGAGTGCTGCTTCACATCTCGCAGTCCAGATGGATGCAAGCAGGTGAGGAAAAAATACTTTGAGATCTTTGCATGGAAGGCATTATGTTAGTACAAAGTATTTTCAATCCAGGCCTCTGAATAAACCCTTCTCTTATCTACTACAGTCTCTTGGGTTTATTTTGAAGGCACAAAACAAAAACAGAGGGGAAAAAAAGGTCCTTCTCCTTTAAAGAGTCACCTTGAGTTCTCGCTGCTATTGGAATACATCTGCTCTGTTCTGTTCTTATTTGCCAAACGGCAGCATGCAAAATGGAATTTCAGCACCCAGTTCCACCTAATGGAAATAGCAGCAATACTGTCCCTTCTTTGGAAAAAGGGGATCGGGGGTGGTTTCCAAGACCTGTAATGATTACAGAGAATAGAAAAAATGCTAAATTACAGAGGAAATCAGATCAAAGAGACTGAGCTAAAGGGATCAGTGAAAAGCCAGCAGGATTACATGGATTGACACCAGTGCTTCTAGGATTAAACCATAGCAGATTAGGACCCCAATACCAGTTATCCTCTTTTAAGAAAGTTTCCCTACAGCTTTAAGAACCAGATCCTGCTGCCTTTGAAGTCAATGGGAATTTTACCATTGACTTTAACTGGGGCAGGATGTAGCCCCAAACATGAATTGAGGGAAATTCCACTGCTACAAAGACAGTTGTTCCCTTTCAAGTTTTCTGCAGAGAGGCAAACTTTACAGCACTAATGGGTCATTGAGAGAAGGCAGAGAAGCATGAAAATTAAAGGCAGCAGAGACCTACCAGCTTATATCCAATCCCCCCACTGCCAGCACAGAATTGTGCTTTACAGCAGACCCATTAGTGCTCTGTTCACGTCAGGGGGGCTTCTCATTACTAATCTGCCTGACTCTCTGTCCAGGGTAGGAAATGCTCATGCTGTGCTGCTTGCCATTTGTAGCTTATCCCCAAAATTATGAGGCTCTCTCCAAGCCCTGGCTGGGATGATTTAGCTGGGAATTGGTCCTGCTTTGAGCAGGGGGTTGGACTAGATGACCTCTTGAGGTCCCTTCCAACTCTGATATTCTATGATTCTATGATTCTCTCTCACTTCCTGGGCCAGCAAGGGCTAGCATCTCTGCAGAGAGGTTGTGCACTCAATCCGCGGGGAAGAGAGACCATGTCCACAACCTATGGCTGATACATGGAGCAATCCTGACCATCTCCCCAGAGAGTCACACTCCGCTGGAAACGGACAGCTATTCACTACTTCTACACCACTAGACTGCTTACAGGAATTAGCCAGTGCATTGCATTAAGATTGCCAACCCCTGTGCCAAGACAGAGCAACCTTAGTAGTGGCACCATAAAACAGACCCTGGCACACTATAAACATATACAAATGTATGCCTCAGAGGGTTTTCCTGCCTTTAAGAGTTTACAAGATAAATCCAAAACAAGACACAGGGCAGCAGTTCAAGAAAGGGAGGGTATGAAGATTATTGAGGAGGAGGAGGAGGAGGAAGAGGAAGAGGAGGAAGGATTGCTTGAAGGAGTGGGCTTTATGGAGGTTTCAAGGAGATGACAGAGGGCAGTTGTTGGATGCAGACAAGGAGAGAGTTCTGTGGCAAGGGACAACAGGAGATAAAAGAAACAGTAAAACAGGAGCAGTGGGAAGACAGAAGGCCACAGTGTGTAGCTGGAGGGTATCAGGAGGTGGAGGGATGAACAGAGGAAAACTTGATGATTCAGAAGACCCCTTCCTGCCTCCCAACTGTACTTTGCTGTGAAGTATGTCACTTTCAGACCCAAATGTACGCCCTTGCACAGAAGCCTGGTGTTACCATTCTAACATGCTGTTCTAAAAGCAGGTGCCAGAAAATCCTGTAAATGGCAAAGAAAGGAATCCCACACACCACTGAAAGCTGCGTCCCCTAATGTTTGGAACTCTGTCACTCACTAAGTCTCAGCAAGTTGAGTGTTATTACTTTCCTTTTACCTTCCTGCACTTATCCAACAAGTCATAACCCATAATGCAAAATGCTTTCTGCAGAGTACTCTGGGGAGGAGATGGCAGCTGAAGGGACCTTAATGTATGTGACAAACCAAAGTGAGCGTGATCAAGCGTAGTATCAGATGATACACTGGGAGCTCTATCCTTAGCTCTATCTTTGCTAGAGCATGGATTAGATTATCTGATTATCCCATCTCTAACTACCACAGTCCGAATAGTTGTCTTCCTGGGTAGCTCCCTACCCAGGAAGACAAGACTATTGATCAGTTTTTCATTTCCCCAGAAAGCCACTGGATTTGAAAAGGCCCATGTCTCAAGATGCTTAAAATGCCTCAAGAGGTCTTTCCAGGGATCCTCTTTTGCCTTTCCCAGACTCAATAATGTGCCAACTGTCATGGGCTGGGTGGCAGCAGCTCCATGCCAACTTCTTTAGCTGGCTAACACAAAAGGGAATGGCTGGAGATTGATACAAAGATGGTATGTGACCTTTTCACAAAAACAATTGGCAAAACAAAAAAACAACTCCAACAAATGGAACAACTTGTTTCTGCCCTTTGCTATGTTTTGACAGTGTTGGGTCTCATATGCAGCTTCAAATTAAAGAGGGAATATTCTCTGTACCTCCCCATTCCTCACTACCCCGTTCTTACAACAGAAATGCCAGCCCCAGTCCGAGTTTGACTACACAGATTTTAGTCACAACGGGCTAAATCCATCTCAGTGTAACTCAGCTGATATTGGTGGAGTTGAATCAGAGATTAATTTTGTCCATTGATTAAAAAAACAGGTAAATAAGCTAGAAATGCTAAAACCATCCTTTTCATTAACAGTCCAAGTCCCCAAGATTCTTATTTTTTGTAACATCATTCCTGTTTCAAAGCATTTTAACATTCCAAGCACTGATTTACTCTTAACCTCAGGAAAAATCTGTAATTCTTCTAAAATAAGGAAAATAGAGTAATGGCATTCAGCTACTCCATGCATCAGTGCAACAAACATATCACTGAGACCAAGATTTTCTGCTAGTGTAAGCTGGCCTGGCTCCATTGCCTTCAATGGCTCCATGATGATTTATACCCACTGACAATCTGGCTGTCTGAAGTTCAGCCTTCTGTTTTGCATGCAAGATAGAAATAGACTAATATAGAGTAGCGAGTCCAAGACAACACATGTCTTAAGGGCTGTTTATCTCTTGAAATTTGTGTAGCACGGTACTGAGTCTATCATGTCCAAACAGTATCACAGAATCACAGAAGATTAGAGTTAGAAGAGACCTCAGGAGGTCATCTAGCCCAACCCCCTGCTCAAAGCAGGACCAACCCCAACTAAATCATCCCAGCCAGGGCTTGGTAAAGTCAGGCCTTAACCTCTAAGGATGGAGATTCCATCACCTCCCTAGGTAACCCATTCCAGTGCTTCACCACCCTCCTAGTGAAATAGTGTTTCCTAATATCCCACCTAATATCCCCCACTGCAACTTGAGACCATTGCTCCTTCTTCTGTCAAGTCATTCTTGGAAAGAATCCAAGAACAATCTCTCGCTAACAGAGGACAATCATTTCCTCAGGAGATGCCATGCTGCAGGCCTTACTGTCCACCCAGGGGATTCTCAATAGGAAAGAAAAAGACCAAAGACCCAACCACTAAATCCTCCTAGGAGAACTGAAAGCTGAAAACAAAACCATCTTCCTGATCTTATCCTGATTTTGGCCCAAAAGTTTAGTCCTTTGTCTTTTCTAGTAATTTATCATGTTGCAACATTTCCCTAAATGTCCTGAAAATATTGACATAGTTGATCAACTCATTTATCTTACAAACGTGCAACTTTAAGACAAGCAGAGCTAAACTTTCCTATTTATTAATTAGCGCACAACAGATTCCAATATGGGATAATGTTAGCATTTAGGGGCAAGCTGTGTTTTTACCCTACAGTGTCATCTTGAGTTATATCTCAGATTCACCAAATGACATAAAAGTGCCATCCACGCATGAGTAGCTTTTTGTACGCTTCTCACTTTTTGAAATACTGCAGAAGGTCATTGAAACGGAATACTGGTAGGTGAGTGCGTTTTGGGAGAGACAGAAGACTAAGGATCTCAGATATGATCGCAATAAAATTTGTAATACCTAAGAGATAGAGAGATTTGAGGAAATAAAAGGTAAGAAGATGACACAGATGCCTGGGATCAGAGTCTAATCCTGCCTTTCACAGTCCATAAAATGCTCAAGAAAACTCCATGCATGTGATGGAAAACAAGATGCCTGTTTTCCCCCATTCCAAGGTTAGAGCTGACCTTGAATTAGTTTACTTCTCACAAAGCCACCATCTCTTAGCACTTTTGTGGTACTGTCATCAGAGGATTTCAACATTAACTAGGCCTTAATATGTTGCCCAAAGGAGGAAGGCAAGTATTATTATCCACTTAATAGAGGGCAACATTAGGCAAAGAAGAGTGAAGTGACTCCCACAAGATCACAGAGTATCCCAACAACCCATCTAATGGAGATGCAAAAATCAAACTTACTGTGTCTCCGATTTGGAGATCTGCACACTTCCTGAGTCCAGGATACAACAAACCGTCTTGGCACGTAGCTGTGAAGGTCAGGCTGACATCCTCAGGATTGTCCCAAACGGTCAGTTCTACTTTAGACCGAATACTCTAGAAATCAACAGAAAAGAAACCCATCAGATTACTAAAATCAGCAGGAATCTTTCTTGTGCATGTGGTTCTTCTTAGTCTATTGAGGTTCTTATACTGTGTTCAGTGTGGCTGGGCATCTATATATATAATTTTTTTTAAAGAAAACCACGCGTGCAGACACCTGTGTAAGTAGCATTATATCAGCTCAGTGTGCTTTTGACCAGCACAGCTAGAATTGTGGGCAGCTATCCATTCACACACATGCACCCACTCCTTCACAGAAAGGCTAGTCATCGTCAAACAGTCACAAAGGTATTTTCTCCATTGGAAAGTAAAGGACTAATAAAACATGGCTCGTATCCCAAAGTTGGAGGTTTTATGGTGGATCAAGGACAGTACTGTGCATGTGTCCATAATGCTGCATATTCAAATCACAGACTAATATACCTGAGGATTGTTTGTGCACAATGTGACTGGAAAGCAGAGATGTGTAACTAGATCTTAAAACAGATATTTCTTTGCCAGGAAGAAAAACTGGTCTAGAGTATGAATGGGCTCTGTTATCTACCTCTGAGGAGAAGGTCAGCATCTGCCTGAACATTCATAATTCTCCTGTATAAAATTACTGTTATGAAAATACAGGGCCTGATTCTTCACTCTCTTGCACCCTGAGACGTCATTTACATCTGTGGAAAGGGTGTGGAAAACTTTACCAAGTCAGAATTATCATGCCAGCAATTGTACTGTATTAGCTCACTGATTAACAATGCCTGTCAGAAAACCAACAGTTTTCCAGAGAAAATATTTCTCAGAGGGAAGGGGGGTGAAACAGACAAGCTTTGAAATTTTTCTGTTGAAAGTTGTCAGGTTTTCTATGGGAATTTTTGTTGAGAACTAAAAAGAAAATTTTCATTTTGTTTCATTTCAGAACATTTCAGACTGAAGAACTGTGTTTCTTTTCCATTTTCAGTTTTGAGGGGTTGGCGGAGGGCTCCTCATCCCTCTCTTATACTTTTCTTCCTGCCCTTTCTCCCCCTTTTAAGTCAAACTGAAACCAAACTGTTCATTTCATTTTTAAATACTAATTTGAAACCAAGTTTCTTGTTTGTTTCTGATCAGAAAAAATCTAAATAAAAATTTTTTGTCAAGAGGTATATTTTGGTGGATACATTTTTTTTTTGATCAGCTCTACTAATGCTCTGGTAGGTTCTCCAACCCAGTCTGGCTTAACACCATGTCCAATCAATCTGCTAATGAACCCAGTGTTCACACTGAAAGGCAATGCTAGCAAAAGGCTAATACTTTGGAAAACATCAGGGAAAAAACTGGTTTAGACCATGCAAATCTAAACAACCCAAGACAAAAAACCCTCACTTCCCATATCTATGTTGTAATACAGGAAACTATTTCCTGTCTGGAGTCTGGATTGTGCTGTCAGGTTCATGGGTTCACATTACAGCCCCTGCAGAGGTTCTACTACTTGGAGTCTGAACACAATATGTTTCTATAAAGTTCAAATGCACTCCCCCCACATCTGCCAACCCACTCCCCCTAAAACTAATCTCACAAAAATTAACATTGACCTGTCAGAATAATGTGCTCTCTCTTCCTGGTCTGGGCAAATTTCAGCAGCCAGCTGTATCCTAGAAAGGAGACTTAACTATCAGTAATGTAAATACACTGAGTTATCACTTGATCAAGACTGAGTCTATTTAATGAGCTGGAGAAAAGCTGTCTTGGCATTTTTCTATCAGCACTTGGAATACTCCAGCCAGCATCCTTTACTAACTATCATTTAACCACTTGGTGCTATCTTACGTACCCAAAAAGCCAGGAAAAGCATACGCTCTATGGTGCCCCCATAGCTACTAGACTCTGATCGTCTCTGAGGATATGTCTACACACTGAGGAGAAAAAAAGTCTGTTCTTAGATTAGCTAACTTGGGTTAGAAGAGCAGTGAAGATATGGCAAGTCTGTTTTTAACTTGGGTTAGCAGTTCCAGTTAAAGCCTATAAAGGAGCTTGGAGCTCCTAACTCAAGCTACTAACCCCAGTTAAATGCAGAGTTGCCTTGTCTGCACGGCTATTTTAACCCAAGTTAGCTAATGTGGGTTAGCTAAATCGAGTTAAGAACACACCTTTTATTTGCAGTGGAGACATACCCGTAAGGGACTGGTGGGAACTCTCAACAGTGTATTCATTTAAAACCAGACTGAACAGAGCATTGAAGTGCAGACTGGGGAGAACAACCCCGCGCTGCTCACAAGATAGCTTAGGGGGTCTTTTCTCTTATTTCTAGGATTCTATGAGATCCTTCATCCATCCCCCCTTTTACTATGTATCGTTGTACTGGGGAAACCTCATGGGATATAACTGAGAACTTTTTCAAAGGAAAGTCTTCATCAGACAGGAGAGACTGCAAAACAAAGGTTTCTAAGAGATTGCCAAGTGAAAACCATCAGGGCTAACAGTAGAAGCATGTTTGAGATACAGCTAGACTTTACCATGATGTTTAGGAAAGTGACTCTAAAAATAGCGCCTTGTTGCTGCTACTATTGGGTCACATTCTATCATGTGTATAATTCCTATTGATGTTCATGCGGCATAAACAAGGCTAGAACCTAACTCTGTCGATTTTTCCAAGCATGTATCTGTTCAGCTTACTGACAAAGGCATGTTGTTGTTTTTTAAATCAGCAACGGTACATAACTGCTATGGCTATAGAAGAGCCAGCCAAGTTCTATTACACCTCATGCTTCATCAAGGTAACAGACAGATGTGATGGCTGGTGGTGACGTGCAAGGCAGAAAGAACACAGCTGGACTGTGAGACGCCAGATTGAGAGTAGGAAAAGCAGAGCAAGAGGTGGAGGGAATCCAGTTGTGGGAATCCAGTGAGAAATTTTGATATGGAAAATAAACAGGGAAGCACCAGAGAGGGAGAGAGAATTGAGGGAAATCTCACTAATTTTCCTTCTTCCTAGCCATGGCTGACTTTCCCTCAGTTAGGACAGAAGTGCAAGATGCTGGCTTCCCTGGTCTTCCTACTTGAAAGAACTTTGCCTACGCAGGTTTCTCACCTATATTCAGTTCCCAAAGATGTCAACCCCCTCTTGGTTGAAGGACTTATCTTTCTCAGCTTGCAAGAGCTCTGTTCCCTTGTGTCTGTCTAGTGATAGATGTCAAAATGGCCTTCTGTCTCTGCTTATATCTTCCAAAGTTCAATGACCTTGTTTCAAGAGGCAGGATGACCTCATGTTGTTTTTCCCTTCCTGTGGGTTTCCCATCCCCCTGTACGCACATGGGGCTTCCATGGTTTTGATTCTAGGAAGCTTAATTTACATAGGAGACAGGTGTGATGTTCCCTCCTGTCTGGGAGAGACCCATTTCCCCCTTTGTTTGGGCACAGACCGACAAGCCTAACATCCATGAGTATCCATAATTACTGGGATCTACAACCTATCCTGAAGGACAATCCCTCACTCTCACAGACCTCGGGAGACAGGCCAGTCCCCGCTCACAGACAGCCCCCCAACCTGAAGCAAATACTCACCAGCAACTACACACCACACATCAAAAATACTAACCCGGGAACCAAACCCTGCAACAAACCCCAGTGCCAACTCTGTCCGCATATCTATTCAAGGGACACTATCATAGGACCTAACCATATCAGCCACACCATCAGGGGCTCATTCACCTGCATTCATCTACCAATGTGATATATGCCATCATGTGCCAGCCACCAAACTAGACAGTCTCTACGCCAAAGAATAAATGGACACAAATCTGACATCAGGAATTATAACATTCAAAAACCAGTAGGAGAACACTTCAATCTCCCTGGTCACTCAATAACAGACTTAAAAGTGGCAATTCTTCAACAAAAAAAATTCTAAAACAGACTCCAATGTGAAACTGCAGAACTGGAATTAATTTGCAAACTGGACATCATCAAATTAGGCCTGAATAAAGACTGGGAGTGGATGGGTCATTACAAAAACTAATTTCCCCATACTAATTTCCCCCTATTGTTACTCACACCTTCTTGTCAACTGTTTGAAATGGGCCACCCTCATTACCATTACAAAAGTGATTTTTCCTCCCTTGGTATTTT